ATAAAATTTGGCATAGGTATTTCCGAGCTCTATAAGATATTGTATACCAAATATCATTGTTGTCGAATGCATATTATAAATGTGAGGGACTTAAACATCAAATCGGATGAAACACATACATATATAAGCCATAGCTATATCTGAACCGATTTTCTCCGAATTCAATGTACTTGCTTCCAGACTGAATCCTGTCGAATGTATCAAACTTCAGGACTTTTGGACTGATATTGGCCATTCGGTGCACAATTAAACCGAAATCGTATGAAGATATATCTAGGAGCTATATCTAAATCTGAACCGATTTTGATAGAATTTCGCAGGGAGTATTTCTGAACTCTATAAGATATCTGGTACCAAATATCATTTTTGTGGGGTGCATATTACGAATGTTGGGGACTTAAACCCAAATCGGATGAAACATATATACGGAAGCTGCAGCTATATCTGAACAGTTTTCATCCAAATTTTATGTACATGCTTCTGACTGAATTCGGTCGGATGTACCAAAATGTAGGTCATTTGGACTCCTATTGGCTATTTGGTGCACAATTGACCCAAAATCGTTTGAGGATATATCCAACTCTGAAACGGTCTTGACAAAAGTTGACATACTTTTTTCAGAGCTGTATCTTGGGGACTTTTGAGCCCCAAATCGGATAAAACATTAACATGGTAGCTATAGCTATATCTGGACCAATTTACACTAAATTTGAAGTACTAGTTTCTAGGATGAATTAATTCGTAAATAATATTAGACTTTTGGTGCACAATAAACCTCATATCGGATAAAGATATATATGAGAGCTATATACTAATTTGAACTGATCTCGATGAAATTTGACAGAGATATTTTCGAGCAGTATCTGATGTCCGGTACATTACGTATCTGAGAGACCTTAAAACCCCAAATTTTATGTACATGCTTCTAGACTAAATATTGGCCATTTGTTGCTCAACTAACCCGAAATCGGTTGAAGATTTATGGGAGCTATATCTAAACCTGATCCGATTATCATTAATTTCAATAGCGTTTGTCCTTGGGCCAAACAAATATTGCGAAGAACATTTCAGCTCAATCGGATAATAAATGCGACCTGAATTTTGTTCACAAGAATATATGTAAGATCGGCAGGCGGATTGACATGCATAAGTCGACTCAGAAAGTGATTCTATTAAGTTCCTCAAAAGGTAACTATGGGTCTATCTCGCATCCTTCTCCCTGTTACATACAAATGCACAAAGACATAATACCCTTACTACTATATGGTGTAGGGTATAAAAATGAACGATGTTTTGGCAAATTGATTTTTGAATAATATCATGCTCATGATTTTTTTTTGCCATGAAATTCTTATAATTTTAAAAATTTACAAAAAATCTTAATTTTTTTTATTTTTTTACTAAAACTCATTAGTCGTACCCAAGAGGACCTTCCAAAAACTTTTCTTAAAGCCTACAATATAATTGTCAGGGGAGTCTTTTTGGGATTCACAACTTCCCGAAACGTTTTAAACTTTTTGTGTGGAAAATTTACCTGTGTTTTATAAACAATTTTAGCTGATCCGGACCGTGTTGCTGGTCCAAAAGTGCTTCGTAAACTTTTGTAACTTTATAAATTTTATATTTGAAAAATTAAAAAGGGTCTATACGACGATGGGTACCTGCATAGGCAACTTTTGTCATAAACCATTACAATATTCAAATGCAGAACTTGAAAAAAAAATGCTGTGAATAATGTCGCTAAAATCTTCAAAAACCCGAATACCGGTAGGTACCGTTATATGGGGGCTATGGAAGATGTGGAACTGCACAAAAAACTTTCTGTCTTAGGCGGTAGTATTCATTACGAACTTTAAATACAAAATGTGAAATAATTCCGGTAGATAATAGGTGTTACAAACGGAATGACAAACCTAATATACCCTTCATACTATGGGTATAAAAATGTCTCCGTGAAATTTGGTGAAAATCAATTCAGAATTGGATATGCCTCCCATATATTGGTTCCCTCTGAAACAAAATTATAACTGCTCCAAAGGTATACTCTACTTCAAATAAATTATTTTGTTACGGGAGCTCTACTAAATATGCATAGAGGTGTAGGGTATCATACAGTCGGCCCCCCGACCGACTTTTGACTTTTCCTTACTGGTTTAATTATTAATCTGGTTTAAAAATTAATCAGTAAACAATCATGAAAAGCAAGTTTTTAAGGGTCAATAACTACAGACTTCAATGAATTGCTATTTCGAATCATTATTTGGTAATTAGAAATCAATTACGTTGTCTCAATCGCAAAATATTTGTATGTTGTGTGGACTTATGCGAATAGTTTAGAAAAACCTGTTAAGAGCCATGCATCTAAAATTTGTTAGCATTCTTATTATTTTCAATTGTGTCAATATATCGCAGGTATGTAATTGGAAACATTAAAGCTAAACACAAGAGAAACCATATAAACGAGAATTCGAAGTTTTCAATGTTTCGAAGGCAAGAGGGCCAACAACTCGTGGACAATCGGGAACCATGATAAAGCGATGCCTGTTTGCTTACGATTGGTATTCGGTACAATTGGTACAATTTACAGAAAATACCAAATAGTACTGAATTTGATATTTGTGGTAAAAATACAGTGTGAGTTAAAAAACGGCAACAAAGTCAAACGCCATAATTTTTATACCCTACACCACAAGGTGGTCAGGGTATTATGTCTTTGTGTATTTGTTTGTAACAGGCAAAAGGAAACGAGATAGACCCATAGTTCCTCTTGATGATCTGCATAGAATCACTTTCTGAGTTGCATGTCAGTCCGTCCGTCCGTCTGTCCATGTCCAAAATGCAGGTCGCATTTATTATCCGATTGAGATGAAACAACATTTGTTTGGCCCAAGGACGAACCCTATTGAAATTGGAGATAATCGGTAAAAATTTATATATAGCTCCCATACATATCTTCGTCCGACTTGCTTTTTATTGTGCACCAAACGTGTAATATCAGCCCGAATAGTATGGAATTTTGCACATACAACCAAATTAGGCCTGAAAATAAGTATGCCAAATTTGATCTAAATCGGTTGAGATATATCTATAGCTCCCATATATATTGTTCATCCGATTTGTTATTTTTGTCCTCCGCAGCCGTAATATGCACTCTGTAACAACAATATTTGGGGAAATATATCAAATGCAGCTCAGAAATACCTTTGTTAAATTTTATCGAGATCGGTTCAGATTTGGATGTAGCTCCCATATATAACTTCGTCCGATTTACCTTTTATTGTGCACCAAACGTCTCATATTTGCCCAAATGGGATGGAATTCGGCACATGCGAATTTAGTCTAGAAGGTAGTATGCCAAATTTGGTGAAGATCGGTTCAGATATAGCTACAGCTCCCATATATATTGTTCATCCGATTTGTCGTATTTGTTACCTACAGCCGTTGTTATGCACTCCGTAACAACGATATTCAGGGAAATATATCAAATACAGCTCAGAAATATCTTTGCCAAATTTTATCGAGATCGGTTCAGATTTGGATATAGTTCCCATATATATTGTATATAATTTCAAATTAATTGTGCACCACATGGGCAATACAAGTCCGAATTTGAAAGATACAAATGCTTCGGCATATTTAGTCCTTTGAATTTTAAATTATAATTATAATCATAGGGTGTATGATTGAATTCTCCCATAAAAACTTTTAATTATTAAGTGGAGCTCAACTAAATTATCAAAGTGGTATAGGGTATCATAAAATCGTCCCGGCCGACTTTAGGACTTTCTTTACTGTTTTTTTTTTTTTTTTAATTTTATTGAATGAAGCTAAAAATGTCGGAAATAGCATAAAATTTAGAATAAGTTTAGATTTATTCGAATTGGTCACCTTTGCCACGAATTATTGCCTCCAAAATGCCAATGAAACCGTGACACGCTGCCCGACTGTTGCTCTACGGAAGGTCAGCGGCCAAAATGTTTGCGTGTCCAAGGTTTTAATACACCCTCCAGAATATTTTTGCGATAATATTCCGCATTTAATCCGAGCGGAGAGCGACCACCGGCTGTTACGGCGGTCCACACCATCACCATGGCCGGCGCTTGAGTTCTGGTGACCAACCAGTAAACACGATTATTTTGTTTGTTTACAAACTGCTGGACAACGAATGTTTTCTCATCGGAGAAAACAAAATTCGGCAGTTCACCACTTTCGGCCAAGCGAAGAAACTCTTTAGCTCTTTTGAGTGTCTTTTCTTTCCGTTGCGGTGTAAGTTCTGGCACTTTTTGGAATTTCAATAACTCATTTTTCAATATTTGCCGAATGGAATATTTCGATATGTTCAGCTCACGAGCCATTTTTCTGTCACTGGGAGGTGAGTTTCGATCAAGTCGCTTCTTTACTTTTCGAACCATTTCTACTGATGTTGCTGTTTTCTTACTTCCACTTCCTTGACGTCGGGTAACGAGCGATGGTACGAGACACAAAAGATTTATTCACATTTAAATGCTGGAGTGCTTTAACGATAGCCACTTGTTGTTTTCCAGTCATATGTAAAGAAATCACTATATCACGCTTGAATTCCAAAGAATTGTGGAGAATTCTCACCAAAATGCTTTTGTACGCTTGTAAACAATATAATGAGCTGTCACAGGCATAATTTCATTAACTGTCGGACGAATGGCTTAGAAATGACAGCAGTCTGAAGTTGGTTGCAATTTTTTCATCTCACCCTGTTGATTCCTTATTCCTCATAAATACCATCTGTGGCCATGTGGCTGGGTGTATACAAAAATCCCACCTAGCCAAATTTCATAGACTATTACATAAAGTATCAGACATCCTCCATCGATATCACGGCTAGTAAAAAGATTTATAAATTGTGGATTTTTGTTCGAATGCTGTAGGTTTCATTAGGACTTACAATGTTGTGTTTGCATTGCTTTCAATTAACTTCAACGTTTTTTGTGTCCTTTTCTTTATTCCGCTTTTATTAGGCAGCGAAACGACCATTTATCCTGAAATTTTACAATGTAACCTGTACGAACTATGATGACCTGATAAAGAAATATGAATGCAATATAAAAATGCTATCCACCAGTCGCTATGCTTACAACATGTTGATAGAATTTAATCGTGATTTTCCTATTTCTACCAATATTCGATTAATGGCCATGTATTACGGAAAGCCGAATAGTAAAGCTGTCAAACTTTTTGATGTCAAATTCAATTGGTGTGACATGCTGCAACACACTGTCGCTGTGCCGGTGATAAAGTCAATCCTGGTGGAAATGACACGATCCAGTAATTTTCCACTCACGTGCCCGTTGAAAGCGGTAAGTACGCTGTGAGTGATCTAAAATTATGTTTTTATTTAATTCTCATCCAATTCTAGAATTATACCTATACAATTGAAAATTTCATTATAACCGAAGAAATGCTTCCTCCATATGCTGGCACATGTAATTTTAGCTATTACATGGAATTTATTACTAAACAAGGAAAGCTTATATCAAGAATCGATTTTAAAGGCAGTGCAGAGCTGATACCGAAGGGAAGAAAATCATAAGCATTTTCGTTAATGGCGCAAAGTACTTCAGTTTGATTCTAATTCGGTGAGGGGAAAATTGTAATAACTTGAAGGGGCGATCGACATACTTTGATGGAAAATAAAGGGCATTGAAAATAAAAAAACTTATTATATCTGAAGTCAGTCAGCCACAGCACATGATCGTTTATTAATGCATAAACTTTCGGGAATAAAAATACATAGAAAAGAAGAAGAAGAATGTTGCCAACCATCAATATGAATCCAGCAAGACGTCAATATGAAACCAGTAGGGAAAAGTCAAAAGTCTGGCGAGGCCGACTATATGTTACCCTACACCACTATGCATATTTAGTAGAAAGATTATATTAAAAGAAGTAAAAAAAAAACATTAAGTTCGCCCGTACCAAACTTTTAATACCCTGTACCTTAGGGTAAAGGAAACATTAGGGCCCATTATGACCCACATATACAAATTTTTAGACATATTCATGGGAAAATGTGCCAAAAATCATCAAAATACCGAATATTGGGGAATACGGCTATATGGGGCTATACAAAAACGTGGACCTATACCTACAGCGTTTCGTTAAAAGAGGTAGAACCCATTAAGACCAACAAATACCAATTTCTAGACAAATCCGCAAAGACATGTGGCAAAAAACATCAAAATGTCGAATATACGGAGGTACCGTTTAATAGGAGCTATACCAAATCGTGGACCGTTATATGGGGACTATACCAAAACGTGGACCTATACATACAATGTTTCGGCACACGAACTGTTATATGGGGTCTATACCAAGACGTGGACCGATATATCTCATTTTCAATGCTAACCATCGTCGACACAATAAAAATTGCTCTGTTAAATTTTGGCGCTCCACCGCAAATAATGTGGGATGTATCGTGATTACTGGTAACGTAGCCCGACGTCAAGGAAGTGGACGGAAGAAAACAGCAACGTCAGCAGAAATGGTTCGAAAAGTAAAGAAGCGACTTGATCGAAACCCGCATCGCAGTGGACGTAAAATGAACATATCGAAATATTCCATTCGGCAAATATTGAAAAATGAGTTCGGGGTAAAGCCACTGGGATTCCAAAAAGTGCAAGAACTTACACAGCAACAGAAAGAAAATAAACTCAAAGGAGCTAATGAGTTGCTTCGCTTGGCCGAAAGTGGTGAACTGCGGAATTTGGTTTTCTCCGATGCGAAAACATTCGTTGTCCAGCTGTTTGTAAACAAACAAAATGATCGTGTTTACTTGCCAAAGAGGTCAGCTGAAAATATGCATCTTCGGTTGACCACCAGAACTTAAGCGCCGGTCATGGTGATGGTGTGGGCCGCCATAACAGCCGATGGTCGCTCTGCACTCATTTTAATCGATCGTGGCATCAGAATAAATGCCGAATATTATTATTAAAGCCTTGGGCACGCAAACATTTTGGCCGTAGACCTTGGACATTCCAACAAGAATCACGACCGTCGCACTCAGCACGCACCACCCAAGAATGGTTACAAAATGAGGTTCCTCGCTTCATTTTCAGCGCACAATGGCCACCAAAATCTCCGGATACCAATCCGTTGGACTATTGTGTCTGGAGCATTTGGGAGAGCAAGGTTGGCACTAAGAAATACCAAAGAAAGCGCTTCGCCGAGTATGGACCAAAATACCGCAGAGTAACATTCGGACAGCGTGTGACGGTTTTATTGGCCGTTTGAAGGCTATAATTCGTGCCAAAGTTGACCAATTCGAACAAATGTAAACTTATACTAAAATTTGATATGGTGGGGGTTAGATAGAAAGGTAAGTGATGGGATCAAAAATAGGACACCATATGAGTAGAGGTGTCATGGTGACATGTAATCTCGGTGTTTGGGCAGTTTACCTAGCAGGATAGCCACTAGGTGAAACCTGTTTCGAGACAGCTCAGAGATATTTGGCCAAATCACAATATTTAAGGCGAGTTCGAGACAAATGTTAGGGTTATATAGCTTTGTTTCATGTTTGTTAGACTTATTTCAGGTTCTTCACAACACAAGTAAACCCCATGCAGTTGGATTAAGACCGGTATGATTTTTTCTTAGTTTTTGTCAACCGAAATGTCCTAGAGTTGCTAGAGCCACACCCCATCCGACGAGTAATCGTCGAGGACACACATCTGCGGTATTCCGTTTTTTTTTCCAAAAAAACGGTGGTTACAGGAGGTTAAGGATGCGAAGATAAACATGATTTTGCAACTGATTCTCTTGAAGATCTTTGGTGCTCATCCGGAAAGAAAGGAAATTTCTTGGGATAGGAGAGATATAGAAGAGAGAGGGAGAAGAAAAGTTTTATAAAGAAAAGTACAGTTAGCATGGTGGTCCGCCTAACCAGGAAATGCCTTTGTTAATTATGGTGGGATCTATGCCTGAGAAGAACAGAGGCTGTCAAATAGTCTAAGTCTCTTGTTGAAAAATATGGGACATCTACAAAGTTGATATTTAATCGTTTCTAAGCCTTATTCGTCTTCACATAGTCAGCCTTCAGTAGTTAGAAACACTCTTGTTCCATCTTGAGGTGAGATAGCTAATACTGCAGTCAGTTTAACTACCATGATTCTTAAATCAGACCTACTAAATAATATTAGGATGTTTATTTTTCCCTTTGATATTACAGGCCCAATGGCCTCAGATATCCAGCAACCGGTTTCAAAGTACAATTTTTCCAGCTTCTTCGATGACAGATTGTTTAGAACTGCTGCAGCTTTTGAAAATTCTTAATAAAAAGTTAAGAAAAGTAATTAAATGTACTAGAAATTGAATAATTTTTATTGGACAAATGGAATGAGATTTGGAATGGAGAGTAGGATGGACGTACAAAAGGGGTTTCGGAAATTCGAATTTTAAGGTTACGAAGATTTCTAAAACGGTACTAAACTTCTTAATTGATACCATTTGATGCTATGTGAACGCAAAGAACTGAAATAAAAAAAAAAAAAAAACAAGTAAAAAAGCTATAAATTCGGCCTGGCCAAACTTTGAATACCCTCCACAATTTGGAAAGAATTTGGCAATTTTCAAAAAATAAATAAATAAATAAAATCCGTTAAAAATTCTTTTAAAATCTTAAAAATATCGAATTTAGCCGTATGTTTACGACGACGTGTGCCAGCAGAGGCAACTTTTGTCATAAGCCATTACAACATTCAAACGCAAAACTAGAAAAAACAAGTAAGCAAAGGCTATAGATGTGCGGGGGCGACCATGTGATACCCTACAACACTATAATATGTTAGAAGCCCCCTTATATTCAGAACGATTTTGGAAGATTTTGTTTTTGAAATTATGTCACGAGATATTGACCAGAGAAATTCGCCCAATATTTAAGCACTCCGTCATACTGTTGGTTGGTGTGGTCCTGTTTTCATCCAAAACGCTTGAATAATTCCCTGTCCTTAAGTCTCTTCTCAGGCGTGTCGATTGGCTTCAATTGTGTGATCAGGAAGTTTTTTTTCTGTTTTTGTTTCATTTGACCCCTAAATATTTTGCGATCATCTCCAAATGCAAGAGGCCCTTCCTTATCTCCAAATTTAGACTCATATAGATGTTTGTTTACGATATTTGGCTATATTCGTCAACGAAATCAGCATAAAAATGCCAGAAGTTCGGCTTTTGTGTATTTCGGATATCGCCTGTAAGTAATTCTGGTATTTGTTCACACAAAAGTAGCGGTCCATTCTACTCGCTGTCCTAAACTCTAACTTCATGTGAGATTTCGTGTCCTTTGGTTTCTATTTGTGACCTTTATAACGGCTGCAAAATAAGGAACATTTTTAGTTGTTGGTCCATTTCAACCCCCAATATGCCTAGCCCCTTTGAGCCTAACCCCGCACTTATTAAAATTTTTGTGAGGATTGGACGATAATTGCAATCTGTATATAATAACCCCTGTGTTGTAAGGTGAAAAAGTATTACAAAATATACACTTCAATATTATAAGTCAAATTGAAAAAATCGCATGCGATAAAAAATATGAAAACATATAAAAAATGTCACAAAATACTACAAAACCTATATTAACATCATTATTGACATATTTTTATGCGGTTTTTTTAGATTTTATAATTTTATGCCAAAAGGGCATTCTGAATTGACAAAATTTGTCAAAATCGGTCTAGCCGTTCTTGAGATATAATCATTATAGCTAACACCCCCTTCCTTTGTATATACACATTGTATATATTTCGCTATATATATCCGATATTTTAACTATTGGCATCTACGTAACGGTCAGTATTGACCCGGATTAAATATTTTCGCGGTATAATGGAAAATATGACTTTCATTTAACACAAATGTTATGGTCCATTTCACCCACTAAATATTACCCGCTGACCACCAAAATTGGAAGGCTTCAGCCCAGCCCTAAGCTCTAGCCCCATGCTAACTTTCGCTTTGATTGGTCTATAATTGCGACCTGTGGAGCAACTACAAAATCATGTTTTTTTCAGTTTTTGGTCCATTTCAACCCCTAAATATAATGCGACCATCTCCAAAAGAAATAGGGTTCTATTCTGATCATAACCCCACCTCCATTTTCAATTTCGTGAGGATCGAATTATAATTCCAACCTGTAGAGTGATTACAAATTAACATGGACAGACGGACAGACGGACGGACGGACATACATAGCTAGATCGACTCAGCTCGGCGAGATAGGAAGATCCATATATACTTTCCAATGTTGGAAATCAATATTTCGAGGTGTTACATAATTTTTGGCCCAATCAAACTTATAATACCCCAACACATAGTGTTGTAGGGTATAAAAACGGTAAATAATGTAGCTAGAATCATCCAAATACCGAATATAGGGAGATGTCATTATATGGGAGTTATGCGAAGACAATTTTCTGGCACATGCTGCAGTATCCATTACAAACCTCCGCTATCAAATTTTAAACATTTCTGGCGAATAATGTCGCTAAAATCATCAAAATACCGAATATCGGGAGGTACCGTTATATGAGGGCTATACAAAAAGGTAGACCTACATTATTCATTTTCAATACCTAAATTCCTGCAAATATAATATACATTTGAGTAAAATTTTATCAACC